TTTGGTTAAAAAAAGAGAGAGAAGTTTTTAAAGAATTCTGTTGAATTAGAAGATAAAGATTCCCAGTAGCTTTAAGTCTTGGAGACAAGATGCTTCTGTTCTTTGTTGCAGGATGTCTGGCCTGTTCTGTGGAGTTGAAGTTGACAGCTCCTTGACTTACCCTGAGATTGCACTGTCTCCAGTCTCTACTCCTGTTAGAAACTAGTGGATAACCAAAACTGAACTCATCTTCAGACCTTCAAATGCACTCTTCCCAATCTCGAAACCTACTCCTCCTCCTCTGACCCTGTCTTTATTAACAGTACAATATATCATCCATTGCCTAAGTTAGAAAATGAAATTCATTCTTGACTCTTCTCTTTCCCCATATGCAGTTACCATGTGTCTTAGTCATCTAGTGTTGCTATAACAGAAATACCACAAGTGGATGGCTTTAACAAAGAGAAATTTATTTCCTCACAGTAAAGCAGGCTGGAAGTCCAAATTCAGGGTGTCAGCTCCAGGGGAAGTCTTTCTCTCTCTGTTGGCTCTGGAGAAAGGTCCTTCTCATCAATCTTCCCCTGGACTAGGAGCTTCTCTACGCAGGAACCCCGTGTCCAAAAGACGCGCTCTGCTCCCGGCACTGCTTTGTTGGTGGTATGAGGTCCCCACGTCTTTGCTCGTTTCTCTCCTTTATATCTCAAAAGATATTGGGTTAAGACACTATCTAATCTTGTAGATATCATCAGTATAACTGGTAATCCATCTCTTTAACATCATAGTGATAAGATTTACAACACATAGGGAAATCACATCAGATGACAAAATGGTAGACAGTCATACAATACTGGGAATCATGAACTAGCCAAGTTGACAGATACTTTTGGGGGACACAATTCAATCCATGACACCACGTTCTCTTGATCCTGTGTTTCCCGTAATAAACAGTGCTTACCTTATTCATGGCACTAGTCATACTCTATTATTATTATTCATTTATGCATATAGCTCCCCTCCATTAAACTGTTACTTAAGTTCTTCAAGATCTGGGACCATATCTTATATTCATTATTGTCTTCCTAATATCTAGTACAATATCTGGAATATAGTAAGTGCTCAGAAAATGTTTGTTGGGTGAACAAATCAGCATGGTTTATCTTTTGCCACCCTCTCCCCTGCTACTCTTATATGTCAAACTAGATCTCTGCAGGGACAATCCCACTTCCTCTCTGACTTCCTTCCCCAGGCTCCTAGATCTCTTCACTCTAATCAAGATCACTAAATATGCCTTTCAGTAATATGATACTTTGAGAGATACCTATATGTGGCTCTTTTATTAAAGATGGAATTCCCCTCATTTGTCATTCCCTTTTCAGTGAGTTTTGAGAGATGCCTTTACCCTACCGTCTTTTAAATAATAGTCTGTTGCAGAATTTTGAATGATATATATCAAACAAACTAAGCACATTAGGGGAAAATGATGACAAAGCCAGTTCTTTCCAATAATTGATTTGAATACTATTTAAATGAAATCCAGCCTGGCTATGGAGTTTTTTGCTAGGTACACATTACCTGATAATAATTCTTGGGCTTAAAGGAGAAAGATTAATAATAATAATAATAATAATAAAATTACTGTCTGACATTTATATAGTACTTTCTATATGCCGGAGCCCTGGTGACGCAGTAGTTAAGTGTTTGGCTGCTAACCAAAAGGTCGGCAGTTCAAATCCACCAGCGACTCCTTGGAAATCCTATGGGGCAGTTCTGCTCTGTCCTTTAAGGTCGCTATGAGTCGGAATCAACTCGACAGCAACAGAGGTTCTATATGCCAGACATTGTTCTAAATATTTTACATATATTTACTCTTTTAATTCTCATAACAACTCTGTGAGGTAAGTACTATTATTGTCTCCATTTTATAGATGAGGAACCTGAGGCACAGAGCGCTCCAGTGACTTGCCCAAGGTCGCACAGTCAGTAAATGATGGTGCCAGTATTCAAATCCAGGGAGTTTACTCTAGAGTCCATGCTCTTAATCGCTATGCAGTGTTGTCCTTCATTCATTGCAAGAAGATTAGTGACGGAGAAGATTTTGTGACTTGGCGAGGTCAGAGATTTGATGATATGGACACCCAAAAGCAATTAGCTCATTTGTCTTCCAATTATAGGAGGATATAAAATTGCCACATGTATGGAGGCAATTCCACGAGAATACTAGAAAATACCAGGTCTGAGAAAAGGAGAATTCATTCCTGTAGAAATGACAGCCAAACATTTTTATTCTAAGGCATAGTTTCAGATTTCCTTATCTGTCATAGTACATTGAGAGGAATGGGTAGTGTTATGGATTGAATTGTGTCCTTCAAAAATATGTGTTGTAAATCCTAACCCCTAAAAATGTAACTAATGTCACTGAATAATTTGTGTAGAAATTGTCAAATGGGAACCTAATTTGCTGTGTAAACTTTCACCAAAAACACAACAAAATATTTTTTTTTTAAATCCTAATCCTTTTACCTGTGGTTATAATCCCATTTGGGAATGGGTTTTCTTTGTTAAGAGGCCATATCAGTGTAGGGTGAATTTTAAGTCAGTCACTTTGAGATATAAAAAAAGCAGATAGGACAGAGACACAAGCAGAGATGGGGGAAGACAGATGCCGTGCCACATGAAGATCACCATGATCACCAAGGAATAAAAGCTGAAAAGAGACAAGAACCTTCCCCTACAGCCAATGCCCTGAATTCGGACTCCTAGCCTCCTAAACTGAGAAAATAAATTTCTGTTTGTTAAAGCCATGTATTTGTGGTATTTCTATTATAGCAGCATTAGATAACTAAGACAGGTAGTGTGCCAGTTATTAATTTATTGCCTCTCAGCTCCAAATCTACCCTTCTTTGCTTTGCCTGTGTTACTGAGCTGGACCCTGTAAACATTTCTCCTTTGCCAGCTGGCACAAGATTTAAACTTTGTCAGTAGTGGATGCTGAAGGGACAGTGCATGGCCAAAGAGGGAGACACTTCTTTTCCTGGGACCAGTGTGCTAGGTTTTTTTTTAATTTGTTTTTGTTTATTTGTTTTATTATTACTGTTTTGGTATGGTTGCCAGCCAGTCAAGCTGTGGGAGGCCTGATGGCAGTAACCCTAGTGGGCTCCTTCCTATGAACCAGTTCTGATTCGGTCATCCCCTCCAGCAAGTTTTTACCATCCAACATTCCACTGGGGCAGATTGTCCTAAGCAAAGTAAGTACAGGCTTGCTTGTGCTTACTTCCTAATCTGTAGTGAACAAGTTCAGTTTTTCACCGCATCAAAGATTCTCCTTAAACTAGATATGACTGGCATTTGTCTCTCCCAATCCCTCAGCATCTTCCTACAGAATCAAACCTCTTTTCAAACTTACAATCCCTGACAAGGGCAGATGACTTAGTAAGCAAGGTAAGCACAGGAATACTTGTGGTTAATCTGTAGCGAACAGTTTCACGTGGGTTTCACTTTGATATGGTGTGGTGAAACCCATGTGAAATTGTTCACTGTGGATTAGTAAGTAAGCACAAGTAAGCCCATGCTTACCTTGCTTATTAGATAATCCGCCCCTGGGTCCATTTTCTGTAGACTAGCTCCAGACTGCCCATATCCTCCAGTGAATTTCTCTACCACCCTGCAGGCCACTTCCACAGACCAACTCTAGTCCATACTCTGCCAAGTTTCTTCTCCATTAGCAGGGTGTATGTTGTGGTAAACACAATCTCTCTAACAAAGTTTGTATCTCAATCTCAGGGAGAAGGGTACTCCTCTAAATTCTTTGTTCCTCCCTTGTTTATTCTGTCTTAGTCTTTCCAGTATAGGGAACAGGTGATATTTGTATTTTAGGAATTATAGAATGATCTACTTTTCTTTTCAGATTCTGACCAAGAATAAGATGAAGAAATGGAAGTCAAAGATGGAAATTCCTAAAGAAAAAGATTCAATGAGAGTTGTATCAGAAAGACTCCAAAGACAGATCTCCCAGGAATGTGGGCTTGTTGAAACCAGTAACCCTGAGGGCAGGTTATTGAGACATCGGGTAAGCCCCTCAGAGGATGCAGTAAGACATTCCCCTTCCCAAGAAAGAGGATTCAGGGAAGTGAATCTCATCCTCAGGAAAGCCATTGCAGGAGGGAGAGGCCAGGAATGTAATGGAGGAGAAAAAATACTTTCTGCATCTAAAAGATCCCACAGATATGAGGCCTGTGGCCAAAGCTTCAAACAGAAGTCAGGATTAACTAAACATCAGAAAATTAATAATATAAAGAAAACCTATGAATGTAAAGAATGTGGAAAAACTTTCAACCGGAGCGCCAACCTGATTATACATCAGAGAATTCATACAGGAAAGAAACCATATGTATGTAATGAATATGGGAAAGATTTTAATCAAAGTTCAAATCTTATTATACATCAGAGAATTCATACAGGAAAAAAACCTTATATTTGTAATGAATGTGGGAAAGACTTCAATCAGAGCTCTAATCTGGTTAGACATAAGAGAATCCATAGCAGGGAGAATCCCTATGAATGTAAAGAGTGTGGAAAGGCCTTCAAGGGGAGCTCAAACCTTGTCCTGCACCAGAGAAGCCATAGTGGAGGAAAGCCATATGTATGCAGTGAATGTGGAAAGGCCTTCAGTCAGAGCTCAGATCTTATTATACATCACAGGATTCACACTGGAGAGAAACCCTGTGAGTGTTATGAATGTGGGCAAACATTTAGTCAAAGTTCACACCTTGTCACGCATCACAGAATTCATACTGGAGAGAGACCTTTCAAGTGTAACGAATGTGAAAAGGCCTTCAGGCAGCATTCCCGCCTTACCGAACACCAGAGACTCCATAGTGGAGAGAAACCCTATGGATGTCATGAATGTGGGAAGTCCTTCAGTGGGTGCACAGCTTTTCTGAAACATCAGAGACTACATACTGGAAAGAGACCTGAATGTCAAAAAGTTTGCACTCCCGACTTGGACTTTTAAACAGCAGAGAATGCATAGGGAAGAAAAACCTTATGAATGTACTGAGTGTGGAAAAATGTTCCGGGGAAGTTCAGATCTAATTCGACATTGGATAATTCATACTGGAGAGAAACCCTACGAATGTAGTGAATGTGGGAAAGCCTTTAGCCAGAGGTCACACCTTGTTACACATCAGAAAATTCATACTGGAGAGAAGCCCTATCAGTGCAATGAATGTGGGAAAGCCTTCAGGCAGCATTCACTCCTTATTCAACATTGGAGAATCCATAGTGGTGAAAAACCCTATGAATGTAAGGAATGTGGAAAACCTTTCATTTGGCACACAGCTTTCCTTAAGCATCAAAGACTGCATACTGGAGAGAAACTTGAAGAAAGTGAGAAAACCTTCAGTAAGGTTGAGGGGCGTAGAGAAGAGCAGAGAATTCACAAAGAAGAGAAAGCTTATCAGTGTAATCAGTGTGGCAGAACTTTCCGAGGCAGCTCAGATCTCATCAGACACCAGATAATTCATTCAGGAGAGAAACCATATGAATGTAAAGAATGTGGGAAAACATTTAACCAGAGTTCAGACCTTTCGAGACATCATAGAATTCATAGTGGAGAAAAACCTTACATGTGCAATAAATGTGGAAAATCATTTAGAGGCAGCTCAGATCTTATTAAACACCATCGTGTTCATACTGGGGAGAAACCCTATGAATGCTCTGAATGTGGGAAGGCTTTCAGTCAGAACTCACACTTTGTTAGTCATCAGAGAATTCACACTGGAGAGAAACCCTTTGAATGTAGCAACTGTGGGAAGGCCTTTAGCGTGTGCACAGCTTTTCTTAGACATCAGAAACTTACACTGGAAAGGAATTGGAGGAATGTGAGAGGATCTTCAAACAGGACTTATTCTAATAAATAACAAAACCTAGTGAATGTAGGAAAAGCCAGATGGAAACTACATCTTTTTGCACTATATGAGATTTTTTTTGAAAAAGCATTTGACGGTAGGAAAACAGTAGAGAAGTCATAATGGGTGGAAAACAAGTGTAATCAGATGGAAAAGCTCTTGGACATAAAAGCCTTTTTTCTGCCTCAAAGTTGCTACTGGAGTTCGGTCTCAAAGATATATTTGAGAATGTTTTAGAGAGACTTCTGCTGTTCTTAAATCACTAGAAATCACTTTGGGAACAACCTCAAAACTAAATTCTTCATGGAAGGAGCCATTTCATTCTCGACTGCCTAGTCCGGTGACAAGCATAAATCTGCTTCAAGTACTTTAGGGTGATTAAATCTTTCTCTGGGATAAATTCTTCTCTTTAGATATGTATTTGATACATATTCCCCTTTTTTTCTTCCTTACGAGAAATATGTTTATGCCTATATAATAAAACTAATGAGGATGATCCACTAATTGATAGGAAACAAAAAATAATAGAAATGACTTGATAGGTAAAGGCCCAGCTACAAGAGCCAAGGGAGGTGTTTTCCAGATATAGAGAAGTGGCTACAAGTTATATCAGGAAATCAAAGAGCAAGAGACAGCAGAGCAGTAGGTGTTGGGAATGGAATTAGCCTGAGTGCCAAGGCAGAGCTTTTAGGTGGTGTGAGTTGGTGGGAATTAGAAGAAAACATCCAATTTAAAAGGTCAGGTGATTGTAGGGAAAGTAATTTTGTACTGAACCTGGGGTTTGTACTTGGGCATAGTTCATTTGAGGATTGGGGAGCCTAAACATAACTCTAGGGAGAGTCCAGTCATAATTTAATCTGGTAATTGATAATTGGGTCCTGCCTATCTGTGCAATCCAATTCAATCATCAAATATTTCCTGTACTCTGAAGTGCTAGCAGATTCTATAATAATTTAAATGAGTCATCAGATAAGAAAGTTACTGAATGGGACACTAAGAATTTCAGCCTCATAATCTTTCCTCAATGAGAGTAACTTGTGAGATGCAGGGAAGAGGGCCATGCTCTTAACCTCTGGCTCTCTCCTTTAGCTCAGTGGTTCTCAACAAGGTTGATTTTGCCTCCCCACCCCCACCCCACGGGACATTTGGTAATGTCTGGAGACAGTTTTGGTTGTCACAACTAGAGGAATACTACAGGCCTTTTAGTGAGCGAAGGCCAAGGATGTTGCTAAAAATCCTATAGTGTACCAGACAGCCCCCTACTACAAAGATTATCTGACCCAGAATGTTAATAGTGCCAAAGTTGAGTCAACTGGAGGCCATTAGAATCAAGGATTTCAGTGTGGCCTGGTCAGTGGCAGTGCATCCCAAGAGAAACCCAGGCTCTGATAGAAACCTTTAGTTTAATAAACTGTTTCAGCAGAGGCAATGTGGTGCAGTGGGGGGAGCACAGACTTTCGAAACCATCAGACATGGGTTTGAATCTCAGCCTTACCGGACTTCTCGGCTTTGTGACCTATTAAGCAAATTACTTGGAACCCTGGTGGTGCAGTGATTAAGAGCTTGGCTGCTAACCAAAAGGTCAGCAGTTCCAATCCACCAGCCGCTCCTTGGAAACCCTATGGGGCAGTTCTGCTCTGTCCTGTAGGGTCACTATGAGTTGGAATTGACTCGACAGCAGTGGGTTTGGTTTTGGAAGCAGATTACTTAACTGCTTTGATCCTCGTTTTCCTCATTAGTAAAATGGCAATAAAATAATCTATCTCATGAGGTAATTGCGAGGTTTACACGAGAAAACTGAAATTTACTATTGACACATACAGGGGCATCTGGAGCTTTAACAGTTTTTAAACAAAAGATGGGGCATTTACAAGCAAAATATAAAATGCATAAGATACAGTGGTATCTTGTTGCTGGTGTAAAGAATGTGACCTGTTAAAGTTCAAAACATCAGGGGCCCTGGCTTCCCCAGAGGCGCGTCCTGGACAGTAGTGGATATCTTAAAGAAGGGAAGTCCATCTGCACTCACTGAAAGCTGGCTGGTTGTGGATAACATGTGGTCTGGGGGCTCCAGAAGCCTGCCTACCCCCATCACCTGCCTCAAGTTTTAGCTTTAGTAATTCCACATAAACTAATCATCTTTTTACATGAGAATATCTTTAAACATATTTGGGGAGCAAAAGGAATTCAAAGTAGCTATCATCAGTGATATACGTGGATTAAAATTTGAAGATACTTAAATTTTTTGAGTTATCCCAGGTTGTAACTAATGAAAATCTTTAGCTAACTGGAACATTTTAGCATTCTATTTTTATAAAAGAAAGAAATTGGGAATTTATTCCAAAAAGTCTATTTCCAGTCCTTTTCCTGTTTTTACAGTGCTGTCTAATGAGAGCTATGGGCCAGATAAGTCTTTAAAAGGATAACCAGACGCTGAAAGGGACTTGAAGGTAATTGAATGCAGTGGTTTCCAACTTTGTAAACATCAAGACCCTCTGTTTTACTCTCATGTGCCCTATGTTTTAAAAGATTTTGTTTACCTAACTGTATTTATTAAGGAATAATTCTGTTTTTTGCTTTTCAGATGCATGTATAACCACCAATCATGCTTCTGATTGGCATGCCATAACTGGACTAAGGTGCTAAAATTCTAGGCAAAAACAAATAACTTACCATTTTCATTAGTCTTTTTATCGCTTTTGTGGGCAGATAAATAATTTGCCTTGGACTTCTTGGAATATTAACTATCGCTTGAAGATCCCAGATTGAAAAACTAACTGTTCTACCCTTGATACAGCTTGAATTATATCGAGTGTATTGGACTTTTGAAAGCAGAGGGGAAAAAATGAATTTACTGTTTGGAAATGTTTTCAACCGTGAATGTTGAAATAAAAGTCATTCACCAAATACTAATCAAGTGTCTAATATGTGCCACAGGCCATAGTTAGATGGGGCTAGAAAAAGACGGTCTCTGTTCATCGAGGAGCATACAGGCTAGTGGGGGCTGAGGGAGGACAAAAGAGTTCATCTTCAGGTAAGCAGACAATTCATGAAGTCCCACTCAAAGCTTTTATGGGTAGCAGAATGAATGTAGCAGTGTCCAATTTGTTAACCTGAATTCCTCAGAATAAGATCTACCTGTCAGGGAGCAGCCTATATTGGAACTTCAAGAATAGAGCCTAAAGGAGAAACGTTTATCTTCATTAGACCTTAAACCACTAAAGAACCAAACCCCAGGAGAACCACAGAGAAAATCAGAGCCTGATAATCTCTTGGACGAACGGGGGTGATTAGCATGTGGGTTAGAAAGGTGTCTCCAAATACATATTTCATAGGAAATAAGACTGTTCTACCACCTTGGAGGAAAGGAATTTTCCCAATAATATGCCAGTTTAGTCTACCTTTCTCAATTTTTGATGCCTTTATTTAGAGTGAGGCCAGCATCATCAGGTATTATTATCTCAGCCTCCTAACCCGCTTCCCTACTTCCAGCTCTTTCTGTACAGGCAGCTTAGATGATCTTTAGAACAAATGCCACCCCCTCTTCAGACTTGTGCAGTAGCTTCTCATTAACCTCAGCACGAAGTCCAAAATCTTTAACATGACATACACGTTCTGATCTGGCCCCATTAATCCACTCATTCAGTAAATGTTGAGCTTCTAATATGTGTCAGACACTGCAGGCTACAAAGAGGGGTGAGCAGAAACGGACCAGTCTCTCCTGGTGGAACTTAAAACAGAGATTAATCAGAATCACAAATGTAAAATCACAACCATGGTAAGTGCCACAAAGGAGACAAACTGATATGTGATACTGCAATGAGGGCACTTTCTGAAAAGTACTTTCTTTCTAAGGGACTAGGCACCACCAGCTCGCCCTGTAGCTTTTCCTATTCCCTCGGCCAGAAATGTGCCCTCCTTCCTTACCTAAATCCAAAAACCAAACCAGTTGCAGTGGAGTCCATTCTGATACATGGCAACCCCATGTGTGCAAGAGTAGAACTGCACGCCATTGGGTTTTCTTGGCTATGGCCTTTCAGAAGCAGATCACCAGACCTTTGTCCCGGGCGCTTCTGGGTGGGTTTGAATCACCAACCTTTTGGTTAGTAGTCAAGCTCTTAGCTGTTTGCACCACCTAGGGACCCTAAGCTCTAGGAAAGGCAAAGTAATTGGCCCAAAGACCCACAACGAGTAAGTGAATTCAAATCCAGCCCTGCCTGACTCCAAAGCCCATTTTCATAAGCACTACAGTACTGTGCCTCCCAATTCGTTCACATGCAGACTGATCTCTGAGGCGCCTTCCCTGCTACACACCAGTCTGGATCAAGTGCTTCCTCTGTGCTCCCACAGACCAGAAACATCACAGCACAGTAACTAACTAACTTGTCGCCCCCTAGCCTTTGCGCGCTTCCTGGACAGGGGCTGGGTCTTTTTCATCTTTGTATGCTCAGTGATTGCAGGTAGAAGGAGCACGACCCTCAGACACCAAGCTAGACTAGGCTGTCGTGGGCCGGAAGTTCGGCCCCCCTCCGGGCTTGTCCTCGGTGGCGAATAGACCAGCATAGGTAGCTTGGGCGCCGACTGCCAGAAACCGGGCGATTGGTGGCTGCGGGCTGAGAGTACCGGGGCGGGAAGTCACCGCAGTGAGCGCCCCGGAGCGGGACCTGCGGCTCCCGGTGATTAGCTGGGGTAGAGGCGCAATCGCCGCAGCCGTGAAGTTAGTGCTGAGTGAAGGGGAGACTGAGGGCGGCCTGGATATGAGATCCCGCAGTGGCCGTGGGTGCAGAGCTGGGCGCCCGAGTGCCGGCCCTCCGATTCTGCCTATCTGGCCAAACCGCTAGGGTCCCTCGTCCGGCCTGGTCCCCATCACTGGGGTTTCCACCGCCCCCCATCCTGGCCCTGCGGCTTTGAGGCCCTCCCGGTGCACTTGCCCAGCCCCGGAGCCCGCTGGCGCTGCACCACCCCGAGCCACAGGTGCCTCGTCCAGGACCTGCAGCATGGCTCTTGCTATCCCGGAGCCTCAAGAACTGTTATTTCAATGTCCAAATGCGGTGTGGGTTGCTGTAGGAAGCTGTCCCCAGGAGGAGTCTGGGCGACCATTCCACGCACAGAGCGATCTCTATAAGGACCGAGAGCACCAGAGTGAAGGAGGCCGGGTCTTGCTAGGTAAGGAATTACTTCAGGGAATCATGGGGACCTTTTGACCTTCACAAAATGAAAGTTCTCCTGGGTTGAAATGAGTGTCAGGGTGGAGGCTTCTTGGGTTTGGGGCAAGAATCACAGGCTTCTAAATATGTCTGGAGTATAGAACTACCTCTGTTCCCTGTTTTGAAATGATCTTCTCAAAAAAGTCAGAGGCTCCCTTGCCAAGTCCAGTCCAAACAAACAACAAAGAAAAAAAAACATCAAAGACTTCATGCTGGAGAGAAACGAGTGTGATAAAGCCTTAATTTCAGATTCAGAACTTAATGGACAGCAGAGAATTCATAAGGAAACGAAACCTTATAAATGTAATGAATGTAGGAAACCCTTCCAAGGCAATTCAGATCTTATTAAACATCAAATAATTCACACTGGAGAAAAACTTTACAAATGTAGTGGATGTGGAAAAACCTTCATTCGGAACTCTGTCCTTACAGAATACCAGAGAATCCATATGGGCGAAAGGCCTTATAAATGCAGTGAATATGGGAAAACCTTTAGGGGGAGCTCACAACTTATTCAGCATCAAAGAATTCACAGTGAAAAGAAACCCTATGAATGCAATGAATGTTCAAAGACTTTTAATCAAAGTTCAGACCTTGTTCAACATCATAGGGTCCATAGTGGAGAAAATCCCTATGAATGTAATGAATGTGGAAAAGCCTTCAGGTGGAGTTCAGACCTTGTTAGGCATCAGAATATTCATATTGGAGAGAAAGTTTATGAACGTAATGAGTGTGAGAAAACATTCAGTCAGAGGTCAGGACTTACTCAGCGTCAGAGAAACCACACAGGATCATAACCCTATGAATACAGTAATGAAAAAGATGTCCGTACACACACACATAAACACACACACACAACTTGTATATGTTAATATTGAGGTATCCATCTTTAGGCATCATAACTACTTGGAAAATTCTAAGCTTCCTAAGAGCAGTTTTTATCTGATTCAGTTTAGAGCACTTAGCCTCAGGTTATGTGCAGATTTATTCTTCCTAAATGCTTTCCACAGGATAAATCAGAAACCTTGACAGGAGTAAAGTCTTAAATTACATTTCACCCCTTACTTTGTAATCAGAGATTCCACATCACAGGAAAATCTTGCAGATGGAGGAACTGGTATATAAAGTACCTACACCATCACAAAATTGTATGAATTAGGTAGAAAAAGTGTGACATATGTATGTCCCTGCATGTCTTATCCAGCAACACCATGAATCTTATAGCTTCTCCTTTCTCTTTTTATCCATAATATGAATTGTGCCAGGGACAGAGTAAGATGGGTATGATAGCCTGAACTCTAGGATGAATGGTCCTTCCTGGGACAGAATCTAATCCAAAAGTCTAGAAATGGACCTGTGATTTTTCCCATTAGAATAAATGCCAAGATATAGATTAGAGAATTTGAGTTTATTCCTCCATTTCCTAGAAAAACTAGACACAGAAGCAGCTAATTTAATAAGGAAAATAAAATGGATAATAAGTCATAGGACCAGTTGTCTTATTTCATGTAAGGGTGGGTCTTAGGCTGGGTTCTTTAAAGAAGCAAAACCAATGAATATATATATATATAGAGAGAGAGAGAGAGAGAGAGAGATTTATCTCAAGGAAATGGCTCATACAGTTGTGGAGGCTGGCAAGTCCCAAATCCATGGGTCAGGCATCAGGCTGGAGGCTTCTCCTGACTCACATGGTTGCAGGGGCTGACAAACCCACAGTCGGCAGGTCAGGTGACAAGCTGTTGACTCACAGAGCTATGGAAGTTGAAGAATCCCAAAATCAGTGGGTCAGATGGCAGGCCACTGGCTCACAGGGCTGCATAAATGGACAAATCCCAGAACTGGCAGGTCAGAAGAAAGGCTACTAGCTCAAGTCCCAAGAACCAAAGTCAGATGATGATGAGCTGGATGCAGGATCTAGAGCAAGAGTGAGCTTTGCCAGAGCATCCATATATATTGGATGTAGGTCACAACCTTAAGGAAACGCCCCCCACATCAGATGGTTGAGTAAGGCAGTGACTTGAGTAAGGGTATGACCTGCATCATGCCTTTTAGAAAGGGTGTGACTCAAGATACACCCCACATTAATCCTGCCTCATTAACATATTGAGGTTTAAGATTTACAATACATAAAGTAGAGGATAATTATAGTATCACAAAATGGAAGACAATTACATCAGATCACAAAATAGAGGACAGTTACACAATTCTGGGAATCATGGCCTAGCCAAGTTGACACATAACATTAACCTTCACAGGGTGGAAGCTGTAACTATCTTCTGTAGGATTTAAAGGAAGCATAGCAAATGAAAGAGCAGAGACTTTGGAGTCAGACATACTGAATTCAGGCTCTGTCACTTTTTAAAATCTGTATAATGTTAAGTAAACTTTTAAATTTTTCTAAGCCTTGGTTTTCTCATTTGTACAATCAAGGTAATGATACTTCCCCTGTGAGGCTATTGTGAACATTAAATGAGACAACTTTGTTCGTCACCCAGCACAGTTCTAGGCACATAGTAGATACTCAACAAACTATAGCTATTTTCATCAGTGGCTCCTGTGGGTAATAATTATCCAAGGCACTTCGAAGGATAAGTGCTGAAGCCTTCAATGGAAGATTACAAGGACCATTCTTCATTTCCTGATCCTACTTGAGGACAGAAGGAGCTTGACCTAGTGTAAGTAAATGGCAAGGATTGTCAGGGAAGAATTTATACAAGCTATCCAGGATGCTTTATCTTGGGAGAAACAAATTTAGTAGCTGATCTGAGAATTGTTACTATAGTACTATAGAGTTGAATTAAGATTTTTCTTGGAGGGGCTAGGATTAAGCTGTTTTATGAAAGTATCGAGAGATTGGATCAATAAATACCCTGTACATTTGATTAAAAAAAACAAAAACCCATTGCCATCGAGTCAATTCCGACTCATAGCAACCCTATAAGACAAAGTAGAACTGCCCTGTAGAGTTTCCGAGGAGCAGCTGGTGTATTAAAATTACCGACCTTTTGCTTAGCAGCTGTAGCTCTTAACCACTGCGCTACCATTTGATAGACAATTTTAATTGCTGTAGGTAGCTTAACTGGTTTCGAGGAGGTAATAATCAGAGAGGATGAAGAAATCTTAAATCTTAACTTTTTCATATCAGAAGGCAAGTTTCAGTGAGTTGGGAAAGGTTCTTTGGACTATTGGAATTATTTCAAAGGAGCCAAGGTACTGTTGTATGGTTAATCTTTGCATTCTTGTAACTCTTCAGGATCTCCAGTCCAGTGACCTTTTTACTTTGTCTTATCCATCATTCCTTTCTGGCTTTTACCCTTCCCAAAGAGACACTGCTGTCCAACACTTAAACCACTCTTTTACTCACATCCCCATTGCCTCATTTACCTTTTTCCCTTCATTGTCCTTCAACTGTATGTAACTACCCCAAACAAAAACACCATGGGAAATCCTAATAGCCCTCCATTTCTCAGCCTACACCTGGGTTGAAGAAGAAACTCACACAACTAAGTAAACTTATACCTTTGGGCACTATCTTAGTTACCTAGTGCTGCCATAATAAAAATATCACAAGTGGGTGGCTTTAAAGAACAGAAATTTATTTTGTAACAGTTCTGGAGGTTAAAAGTCCAAACCAGGGATGCCTTCTTTGAGCCTATCTCCTAGTTTCTGGTGTCTGCCAGTAATCCTTGGTGTACCTTGGTGTCTTTCTTCCCCTTGTGTGTGTGTGTGTCTCTGTGTCTATTCTGCTTTTTTTATAACTCAGAAGTGATTAGGTTTAGGATCCACCCCACTCTGGTAGAACCTCATTAACATAACCAAAGAAAGCTATATTTCCAAACAGGGTCATATTTACAGGTACAGGAATTAGGATTTCAACACATATTTTGGGGGGACACAATTCAATCCATAACAGGCAGTCAACGTTACCAAGCAATCTCTAGTAAGCATTCTCTCCCCTTGTCTACAATGACTACTTTAAACCTTCCCTCTTTCCTTAAACATCCAACCACTCACCCACCACCCCATTTTAGCTCCTGATCTATTACTTCACAGAGAAATTAGAGACCTTCGCACAAAAACATCTTAAGCTTTCTTCTCCCATCCTCAACCTTTACCCATCTCTTGACACACATCCATCCATCCCCATCTTTGCTGCCTTCTCAATAGAAGAACTGCCCTTTTGTTTGTCTTGGGCTCATCTTTCCACCTATCCCACTGCCTCCTACCCATTCTGGGATCTCACTCCATCCAGTTATCCCATCTCCTGTGTCTTCAACCATCTTCTCCACCGCCCCTTCTCCTCTGTAGTAAAAGTTTGTTCAAGTATCTTCCAGCCTAAAACTAAAATAAATAAAACTCAACCCGACCTCCTTTGGCTCCATGTTTTCCTCTATATCATCTCCCTTTGTAGCCAAATTTTTATTTAAAGTGTTACCTGCACTCACTGTCTCCAATTCCTTATCTCTCTTCCTCAACCCAGTGTCTCCCAACACTACCAAATCTACTTTCACCAGAAATACTAGTGACCTTCATGTTATTAAATCTAAGCTTTATCCAGCTTCAGTTCTTAACATTTATTGTTGACTACTCCCTTCCAAAGCAGGATGGGTCTGAATACATCAGGTGAGGATATTGAATAATACAGCAGGTAAATACATTGATGGCTTTTGGCTGTAGCCAGGCTGCAAATCATTTCTCCTTCCAGCTTCTGAGTTTTTGATGAAATAAAGATTTGGAAGGACTTCCTCCCTACCTTTGAAGCTCATGAGATTAGAAGACCTAGTGTTTTGGTAAAGGATGTGACTCTATGACCATGTCCTGTGTGGTTAGGCATGGGTTAAGCCTTATGGTGAAAAGCGCCTTGAATAGCAGGGGACAAGTTTGGAAAGACTGGTTTCTCTGTGTCTGGAATTTGATTAAAATCTTGGGTAAAATGGTTTCTTCCGATTATGTCTGAAATATACTACTGACCGTTTTTGTGGATGTGTGATCAAGAAGACTACTCCCATGTACTTTCTTTCCTCTTAGCATAGAGAATCTCAGGGTCAGATCTGACAGCACCTTTGGATCCTAAGATTGAAGGTACAATAGGGCTTCTCTCAGCCCTGGTCTTCTGTTGCTATTATAACTGCCTCAAAACAGTTCACCTTTCTAATCCATCTTATACACCACTATTTGATTTTCCTAAAATACTGCTTTCTTCATCTCTGACACACAAACATATGTAAACAAACATACGCTGAAAAAAGGAGCCAGTGGCTGCCCATTACCTGAAGTAAAAGGCCTTGGCTTGGCATTTAATTCCTTCTCATCTAGTCCTGGATCCCTGGTGGCACAGTGGTTAAGAGCTCAGCTGCCAACCAAGAGGTCAGCAGTTCAAATCCATCAGCTGTTCTTTGGCAACCTATGGTGCAGTTCTACTCTGTCCTATAGGGTTGCTATGAGTTGGAATCAACTCGACGCCATGGGTTTGGTTTTTTGTTTGTTTTCATCTGGTCCTACACTCCCTTATCTCTCACTTCTGTGTAACCCTCCAGCGCAGGCTAAGCTGGTCTAACTACTATCCTTAATCAGGTATTGCATTGTGCTAACTCCTGGCCTTTGATTATGCTGTTTCCTTCTTCTATTTTCTAACAAATCTGAATCATCCTTTAAGGCCCAGTCCAGTATTGCAGGCCCTCCTGATCCCCTATAGGGTTCAGAGTCCCTCCCACTTAAACTGGTAACTTTTTCTTTAAATATAGGTAACATGTCTGACATATTTTTTCAGGCACACATTTAGTTCTTTAAAGGGATATGCCTTGGCACTTTTTTAAAAATTACATTGCTCACTGTAAGAAAA